ATCTCTTCTCACTGTGGTTTTCTAAGCAACGTCTGTGTTTGAAAAACCCTTCTGGTGCCTGCCCAGGAGATCCCAGCCAGGGAGGATGGGAGCAGCTTGTCCAAGTGCACAGTTAGAACTATTAATTCATGTGTTGATCCTCCACCAACTGTGTCCCAAGTTGAAAACGTTCTCACTACCTGAGGCGGGAGACACCTCTGATCCTGGCCAAAGTACGGAAGGAGGTTTTAGAGAATGCCTACAGGGAGAGTTGTTTTCTTAAGGGACTTGTGTATTTCTGAAAGTAAGATAACACCGTATCCATTTGGTGAATGTGCAAATTTTGTCACATTTGTCTCTGCAGCTAGTGAGACCCTTTTTACTTGGGGGTTTTCCAGGAGAAGGGGTTTTCCGCATGGGGTGTTTGAGGGGCAGTGACCAAGCAAGTGGAATGTCTGTGTAAGTTCCCAGGTGATTTTCTCCCAGAAATCTTAGCCTCCTGAGTAGCTAAGATTACAGGCTCACGCCACCACACCTGGCTAATTTTTGTATGTTTAGTACATACGAGGTTTCACCATGTTGGTTAGGCTGGTCTAGAACTCCTGACCTGGTAATCCACCCGCCTCAGCCTACCAAAGTGTTGGGATTACAGGCGTGAGCCACCACACCCGGCCAGTAGTTGACTTTTGATATTCTTTGCTAAGTGTACTTGAAAACCAGTCAGTTCCTTCCAAAGTTAACATGAAATGGAGAAAGAAAAAGCTACCAGGGAGGAGAAAATTAAAAGCTGATTTCACCTAACATAATGTCCTCAAGGTTCATCCATGTTGTTGCATATTGCAGAATTTCATTTTTTAAGACTGCGTGATACTTCATTGTATGTATAGACTGCATTTTGTTTATCCATCTATCAATGGCTATTTAGGTTGTTCTCATATCTTGGCTATTGTGAATAATGCTGTAACCGAACGTGGGCGCGCAGATGTCTCTTTGAGATGCTGATTTCAATTCTTTCACGTAAATATCTTGAAATAGGAATGTTGGATCATACAGTAGTTTTAGTTTTAATTTTTTGAGGAACCTCCACACTGTTTTTTCATAGCATCTAGACCATTTTGCATTCTTGCCAACGGCATGCAGGGGTTTTAATTTCTCTACATTCTTGCAGGCACTTAGCGTGTTTTGTATTTTTCGTAATAAACATCATGAGAGGTGTAAGGTGGTATCTCATTGTGGTTTTAATTTGTGTTTCTCTGATGATTAGTGACATTGGGCATCCTTTCATGTACCTGCTGGCCATTTGTATGTCTTCTTTAGATAAATGTCCTCTCGGGACTTTGGCCCATTTTTAACTGGGTTGTTAGTTTTTTTGCTATTGAGTTGTAGGAGTTCCTTATATATTTAAAAACTTAACCCCTTACTTTATGCTAAATGAAAGAAGCTAGTCACAGAGGGAAAGAACTGTAGGACTCCACTTATATAAGACATCTAAAGTAGTCAAATTCATAGAATCAAAGAAGGGGCTTGTATTGCCAGGGGCTGGGGGAGCAGGAAGGGGGAGCTGCTTATCGGTGGCCTCGGGATTTCTGTGGGGCTGGTGAGGGGCTGCAGCCGTAGTCGGCGATACTGTATTGTAAGCGCAAAACTTCAGAGGGCGCTCTCACCACCATAAAATACCATTAAAGAAAATGAACCTCAAAAGTAAGAATTCATACTTAGAGTGAAAGCAAAACAAATGCTTTTGTGTATTCCAAGGATGAGTATATTTTAAAAATCTTTTTCATTTGTAACATAATTGTTTAAAGCTAAATGAAGATTGCTTTCTCATGGACTTACGTGTAAATAAACATTTCTGTTGCTCAACCAAAAGTAAAGTAAAAAGCTGAGTAATTGTATTGAAAACATGGAACCCACTTTATTCAACACAGTGAGCATTTAGAATATAGCTAACCACCACACACTAGGATCTGTTGGGGCTGGGGGGCTAGGGGAGGGAATAGTGGGGTGTGGGGAGATTGGGGAGGGATAACACTGGGAGAAATACCCAGTGTAGGTGACGGGGGAATGGAGGCAGCAAACCACCATGGCATGTGTGTACCTGTGCAACAGTCCTGCGAGATCTGCACGTGTACCCCAGGACTTAAAGTGTAATTAAATAAATATTAATTTCACCATCATAAGAAAAAGAAAATGTGATATGTATGGATTGAAAAAAAATAATATAGCTAAACTATTCTCACTGGCCAGATTTGTCTGATAATTTCTTCATTCTTCCTTTAACCCTAACTGGATGGATTCCTGACACTGAGGCAGGAGGACTAATCTAATGAGGGTGGATTCTGAGGATCCTTTCCTGATGGGCCATGAGTTCTCCCATTTTAGGCTGAGTAGAAAGGTCTGGAGCTCTGCATAGGGATGAAGTCAGAGGAGAAGGAAGAGGTGGTTCAGTCCGCCCAGTGCACACAGGCTGTGTACTAAGATGAAATGTAGTGGAGCACGTGAAGCCGTGTATCTGCTGTCAGACAGACTTGGCCTTGCGTCCCAGGCTCACCCATGAGACTGAATCTAAGGAGAGGTGCCTTTTGCTCTTCTGCTGAGAAGTCCACCGCCACGCCAGTTGAACACATTTATCATGGATATGAGTTCGTCAGTATTTTTTGGCACTTTCTTCAGTATTAAACAGACAATCCATTCAAAAAACATTTTTCCAAATGCTCGCTTTGCACCACTTCCTGCTGCCCTGAGAAAACCGGATGAGTTGGAAGAGCCGGTGGGCCCCCAGTTGGGAGGGTCTGCGGTTGCTAGAGGCCCGAACCAAAGGAAAACGTGGCCATCTATACCTAGGTGGCGATGCAGACACCCTCTTTTCAGACATGACTGTAGTTGGTCACTTGATCGATTAACCGAAAAACTGATTCAAGTGGAGAAATATCAGGACATTATATTAGGTGCCTTAGACATTTCTTTTAACTTAAGCTATGAAAACATTAGTTTTTTTTTTTTTTTTCCACCAATTTTGTAATGGAGAAGGAAAACCTCTTCTCTGAGGCTGGATGTCTGCCAATTGGACTCCCATGTCACCTTCTGATAGGGTGTGGCTTTGTCCCCACCCGAATCTCATCTTGAATTGTAATCCCCAAATTCCGATGTGTTGAAGGAGGGACCTGGCGGGAGGTGAATGGATGTGGTTTCCCCCACACTGTTCTTGTGATAGTGAGGAGTTGGCACAAGCTCTGAGGGGTTTAGAAGCATCTGGCAATTTCCCTGCTTGCACTTCTCTCTCCTGCTACCATGTGAAGAAAGCCCTTGCTTCCCCTTCACCTTCTGCCATGATTGTAAGTTTCCTGAGGCCTCCCCTCCAGAGCTGTGAGTCAGTTAAATCTCTTTTCTTTATAAATTGCCCAGTCTTTATAGCAGTGTGAAAATGGACTAATATACCTTCCTCACACAAAGGATGCCTATAATGAGAGTTTGAATCCAGTTTCATTGCATACGTGAGCGTGTGTGTGTGTGCGTGTGTATACACATAGAAAGGATTATAAAAGACTCTTGTGAAGCAGCCTGGGAGCCTAGTTTTATGATTTAGTCCTCATCATTTACAGCTGTTTTGCCCACACCCAATTGGACAGCAGTCTATCTTGGCTACTGGCTAAATCTGTTTTCATGAGAACAACTTGGCCTTTGTCCTCATATTTCATTGGTTAACTCAATGTGTAACCACATGTATGAATTGAAATAACAAGTATCACTGGCATCAGTAGATTTAAGAATAAATACAGTTGAAGGTTGGTAAGCCTGCCCCCCTCTACTGATGGGGGCAGTCACGTGTGGGTGATCAGAGAAGGCCCCGCTGGCCCAAAGTTTAGAACACATGAGCGCCAGGCAGCATATCCACCAAAGGACATGGGTGACTTCGGCTGATCCAGCTCCACATGGGAGCTGGCCAGGGGAGGATCTCTGTAGGCAACAGGTTGTAGGGGTGGCCTGCAGGCATGCAGAGGATAAGACAGGATGAGCTTCTCTTGGGGAGACACCACATGAGGTACCAGGTAGGGGAGTTGATGGAAGATGGTCAGACATCTGTGAGCAAACTAGGAAAATGTGGCTCTGGAGCAGAATTTAGAGACCTCTTTAATTAGCTCTGTGTTCATCTCTTCTCCCGAGCTGCCAGTGATCTGAGGTCTTCTCCTTGTGGTCCATTACCTGTCACGTGGAAAGCATCTAATATTTTTGAATGAATGAAAGTGCATTTTTTTGTTGTTCCACTGAGATTGTTGAAAGTTGGTCATCCTTATACAAATTAGGTCATAAGGAGCTCTGGGCCAGCAGACTGTGGGCCACTGGATATCGTGTGCTCCTTGTCTTGGCTTAGCCCAGTGAGGGCATGTATCTACGCTCAGATCACTGTTCAGCTCACAGTGTGTGATCAGCCCTCCAGGCCTGGACAGGCATCCTGGTATCTCTCAGGTATAGCTGAATAGGGAAGGTGACAGGTATGATCTTGTTAGACTCAGGTATAGTGACATGAAAGACATAAAAGCCATACTTTATAATGAGTTTGAAGGCTTCCGTTCAGGACGTTCTATTAGTCAATATCTAGGATGGTTCCCAGTGATTCCCCTTAGCACAAGGATTTATCTCTAAGGAACAGAAACACTTAGGCCATGAATATTGGAATATTTAATGTAAGAAAACGAGTCTAACCATCAGAAGCTTAGAGTTTAAGAACTGTCATGTTGCAGTTTATCATCAGAGTTAACATACTTGTTGATCTATTGTTATTTAGCGAGTGCTATTAGTGTCTGTCATTTGCTCAATTTCTCTTGAATCATAAATAAGCAAATCCTCACCCTGTATTTCTCCAAAAACGCAAGACTGGGTCTGCTCTGTGAGAACCACTCTCACCTTATGTCAGTTTCTGTATTTAAGACTTGATTTATGTTGGCGTGGTCTGCTAGCACCTGCACCTGGAAATGAGAAGCCTGTAGCATAAGCGTTCCTCTCCCCTGCTTCTTGGACAGCTTGGGCATGAACCACGACGATGACCACTCATCCTGCACTGGCAAGCCCCACATCATGTCAGGAGAGTGGGTGAAAGGCCGGAACCCCAGTGACCTCTCCTGGTCCTCCTGCAGCCGAGACGACCTTGAAAACTTTCTCAAGTAAGTCCCAGAATGATTCTTTAGGATTAGTGCATGGAAAGTACTTCTAAAAGACAAAAGTATCGGAGTCTCAGCAAATGTGAAGTAGGAGACGTGACTTTCATTTGGGATTTGCATCTGGCCTCAAGAGGCGGTCAGTGTGGAGTGTCCTGTGATGGCGAGAATACCTCCCACATGCACATCTGCTCCAGTGTTGGGGGCGCAGTCGGTGATCATTATGTAATCATCGATCGATTGAAATATCAACATAGTCACCTGTTTTAAGAAGCCCGTGTCATTCCTCTGCACTGTTGTGACTGTGTGGTCACCAGGGCGCCCGTGGGCTACTGCAGAATGGAGCGTTTCCTGGGGTGGAAGTGAAGGCCGCTTCCCTCAAGAGGAAGCGAATTTGCTGGGGGTTGGGGGTGGATTTGCTCCCCTTCTTCACCTCAGGGGAGGGGAGGGCTGTGTTTATATCCCTGCTGCTTTCTTCCCAGAAGATGTCGGCATCCTTCCATTCTCAGATTTCTGTGGAAGCATCGGCCATCTGGTTTGAGACCTTTGTTGAACAGTCTGTACCCGCGGACAGTGTAGGTCCCTTAGTGTCAGGGTCTCAGGGTTGGTTTACAGAGTGACTGTGCAGAGCCCGGCCACTGCAGCACTTAGCCATGTTAATGCGTGTGCCCTGGGAGACAGCAGTGAGTCGGCGAGTCTCAGCCGCCGATGAAGCTTCTCAGTCCAGTAACACAGTCAAGTTCCCGGTGCATTCGGGATGTAGTGGCAAAGGTGCCATCCCAGGTCTTTTCTCATGATGTTCCCTGTTGATGGGAAATTGTTCAGACGTAACCAGCTTAAAAATGCACTCGTTACTTTAAATACAGTCAGTATCCTACTGAGTGTTTGTTACCACAGATCTTAGGAAGTGTTGTCGGTGCTTTGATGTTATCGAGAAGGTCATGACGAGATGGGTGCTTTCTGTTTGTTTGGTTGGTTGATTGGTTTTGTTTTGTTTTGTTGAGATGCAGTCTCACTCTGTCTCCCAGGCTGGAGTGCAGTAATGTGATCTCAGCTCACTACAGCCTCTGCCTCCTGGGTTCAAGCAATTCTCCTGCTCAGCCTCCCCAGTACCTGGGATTATAGGTGCACATCACCACAGACAGCTAATTTTTGTATTTATAGTAGAGACAGGATTTCACCATGTTGGCCAGGCTGGTCTCAAACTCCTGACCTCAGGCGATTTGCCTACCTCAGTCTCCCAAAGTGCTGAGATCATAGGCGTGTGCCACCGTGCCTGGCCAAGATGAGGCATTTTTATTTGCTCACGTACACAGCACTAGTCGCACTAGTGACAAGTGGTGTATGTCTGAGCCCAGGAGAAGTAAACCAGGATCAGTCTGTGTGTCTTGTGCTCATGCAGCTTTCCTTAAGAATCTTGCCAAGTGACTGGGTTTCCTGCCCGAAACCATCTGCCTTGTTTTAGAAATTAAGAAATAAAAGCATTGAAGTAAGTAACCTCCTATAGAACCAGAGCCTCACAATCCCCAGTTCGCTTATTTATTCATTTATTTATTTATGAGTCAGAGTCTCACTCTGTCACCCAGGCTGTAGTGCAGTGGTGCAATCTCAGCTCACTGCAACCTCGGCCTCCCAAGTTCAAGCAATTCTCCTGCTTCAGCCTTCCAAGTAGCTGGAACTACAGGCGCTTGCCACCATGCCCAGCTAATTTTTGTAATTTTAATAGAGACGGGGTTTTGCCATGTTGGCCAGGCCGGTCTGGAACTCCTGACCTCAAGTGATCCACCTACCTTGGCCTTCCAAAGTGTTAAGATTACTGGCTTAATCTCAGTAATCCTGGTGGCTGGCTTAAAGCCATGGAACCCGGCCCCTAGTTCCCACTCTTAGAGATGCACCTGTCATTGTAAATGAATGCTCCCACCCTGGTTGAAATCCTGAAGTCCTTGACAGGTGTTGCTGGTGGCTTTCAGGGACAGCTTGGGCTGGTGAGACACCAAGGCCCCACAAGCGCTCGAAGGGAGCCTGCAGAGTTGGAAATAAGCCCTTTGATTTCATTTAAGTAAAACAAGTCTAACTTGGACTTGTTTCTTATTCATGATCGTTTTTGCTCACAGCCATAGTTTCAGAAAATACGATGATATATTCCAAAATCATTTTCATTCAAGAAAGCTTTCAGCCTCCTCAGTAAAAGTCCACCAGCCTCGTGGGTGTCATTCCCAGGCCCCTCCTGAGTCTCCAGGTTCTTACCGCCTTCAGAGGGAAGATTCACATTTGGCCATGTGGAAAAAGAGGAATGCATAGGAAAAATCAGTCCGTGTGGCCAATGCCTGCATCCTTTTTCCATAAAGAATGTGGAGGTGCCTCCTTCTTGGTGACTGAAAACTCATAAACCTCAGCAGCACATTTGCAAGTCAACTTGCCTCTTGGCTGTTTCAGGTCACAAGTCAGCACCTGCTTGCTGGTCACCGACGCCAGAAGCCAGCACAGGGTCCGCCTCCCACACAAGCTGCCGGGCATGCACTACAGTGCCGACGAGCAGTGCCAGATCCTGTTCGGCACCAATGCCACCTTCTGCAGAAACAAGGAGGTAAGCGGCCATGGGAGGGCCGGCTCGGGACAGACCATGGCTCCCGCCCTCCCGCAGCAGGTCTGGCTTCTGCTGGAGGACGTGGGCATTCACACTCAGCACATGCACCCACACGCACAAGTGTACACACACATATGCACACAGAGATTCACATAAACACAGAGACAGGCATAAACACACCCTCACAGGCACCTGCACATGTGCACCCCACATAGCCGTACACACATACACACCTACACACACAATTGCAGACACACATCTCCACACAGTCCCCCCCAACACGGGCACCTTTGCAGGGGAATGCTTCAGGGTTACTACTGACTCCGGTAGCCTGACATTTTAGTATGGAAACCTTAGGACACTAGAGGTGTAGAACACCGTCACCTGACTTCAAACCCTGCGTGGATAAAGAAGAGAGTTAAAACTATTAAACATTTGAGAGTATCAAATTGGGAAAATTTAACAAGTAATAAATTGGCCGGGCGTGGTGGCTCACACCACGGCTCCCAGTACTTTGGGAGGCAAAGGCAGGTGGGTCATGAGGTCAGGAGTTCAAGAACAGCCTGGCCAAGATGGTGAAACCCCGTGTCTACTAAAAATACAAAAATTAGCCGTGTTTGGTGGCGGGCACCTGTAATCCCAGCTGCTCGGGAGGCTGAGGTAGAGAATTGCTTGAACCCAGGAGGTGGAGGTGGCAGTGAGCCAAGATTGCACCACTGCACTCTAGCCTGGGTAACAGGGTGAGACTCCATTCAAAAAACAAACAAAAAAAGTCATAAATTCATTATATGATAATAACCCCATAACAGTTACTGCTTATTAAGCAATGCCTATGTGTTTGGTACGAACGCTTCCAACACGTGTGATCCCAATTAGTCTGCGCCATAACTCCCGAGATTCCACCCCTGGTTCCCGGATGACAACACCACGTCAAAGCAGGTGAACATTCAGAATGGCTTGCTTAGTAGGTAGCAGAGCAGGGATTTGAACTCAAGCCTCTTTCACCCCCAAGTGCACACTTTTTCACCATGGTGCAAACAGCAAGGTCCAGAGCTTGGCTGGTTTTATGGGTGGGGGTTGCCAAGAGGGGCATGTGGGTACCCAGGGCACAGCAGTCTGCATGCCTGTGGCCGTCTGTGTAGCGGACAGGGAAGGCCCTGGCCACAGGGAGAGACCAGGAGCCCGTGGTCCAGCTGGCCCTGGCAGTGACTGGGCTAGGGGAGCAGAGCCTGTGCCATCCTGTGGAGGAGGAGGACAGAAGTAGAGGAACCAGGTCGGGGCACGTGCACCTCAGCAGCCAGGCAGCGGGTGGTCAGCCTGAGGGAGGGCTGTCCCAGCACTGGCGCTCAGAATCACACCTGGTCCCCAGGAGGATGTGTGGACGGCTGGGCAGGTTCCTGAAGCACGCACTCGGAGCAGCAATAAGGCACACAGGTACACACAGGGCTGCCTCCAGAATGTGGTCCCAGTGCCCGTTAGCCCAGATTTCTGGAGACAGATGCTGCCTCTTGAGTGCTTCCTGTCTACGTGTGTGTTCATTTAGGAAACTGGGACACAACCTGCAGGTGGGGCATCGCCGGCCATTTTGGGGGTACATAAAGGGCAGCTCCTCAAAGCCAGGCGGTTGCCTCCTCCTGGCTGTTTCCCCAAAGGACGTTTCCCCACACTGTAGTGCTGATTCTCCCCTGCCATTCCCCTGGGGAGCGTGCCTGCGAGAGTCCCCTCCAGAGACTGATGGGAAGCTGTCACCCATGTCAGTGTCCTACTGGCTGCTTGTACCTCCTGCCCCAGCAGCAGGGTTGAAGGACACCTCCATGGGGAGGTGTAATGAGCCCTAGGATGGGATTGCCCCCTGCATCCTGCAGCAGTGCCCAGACTCCTTCAGCCGCTGTGTGGCTTGACCGCTAAGGCTCTCATGCACATACACAGTGCCTGCCAAGAGGCTTCCTATCTGCCTGTCCCCCTCTGCATGGATGGTACAGAGATGCCAGGAAAGAGCAGGTTTCAGGGCGTCCTTTGATGGTGTGGAGACCACATGAGATCATGTGGATAGGATAACCCGGGAGGACTTAAGGCAGAGAAAAGGGCCCCAGACACCAGGGGTGGGGAAGTGGATAGTGCCCAGCTGAGCCAAGGGCAGAGTGATCCCTCTGCCCACTGTGGAGTCCTCCCCAGGGCCGGTGAGATGTGGCAGGCCAGGCTGAGCGGGTCCTACAGGGCAGAATTAAGTGGGGCGGGGGCTGGGCAGAGACTGCCTGCTCCCTGAGAGCTGGAGCTGTTTTGCCTTCTAGGAGCCAAGCCCTTGCATCCCAGTTGGACTAGGAGGGACCGAGGGAGGGAGACACGTGTACTGGGGGCCCACAGTCTCCCAGGCTGGCTTTGCCCTGGCACTGTCACACACAACCCTGACTGCAACCCCAAAGGTAAGGGATTTTAATTCCACTCTAACAGATGAGAATGTGGAAGCTAAGAGATACTAGGAAACAAGCCAGGCTCACCCAGCTGGAAAGCGGGGGGCCAGAAAGCAGACCAAGGTGTATCTGTTCCTGAGGGAGGAAAGGAAAGCTCCTGTCATTCAGAGACCTCAAAGAGGAGGTAGGGGATGTGGTATTTTATTTTCCTTCAGAATCATCTTTTTATTAGAATTATTCAATTAGAAGGCAGCAAGGATTGATTAGCTCAGCTTTGTGGCTCCTTTCTCCCTAGAATCTCAAAATCCAAGTGCTTATCTAGTGAGATCTTCCCATGAGCAGGTTACAGGGAAGCTGGGCGTTTAATCCTGGGCTCTGTAGCAACTGCAAACTATGTTTTCCTACTTGCTTTTGCCTTGAGGGTTTCACAGCAGTAAAATAAATGTGTGTTTTCCTCTCCAGTAACTAGCAGAAATGATTTCTTAGGGGAATGATAGAATGACAGTCCCCTTGAGGGCCACCATTCTCAGCTGGTTAGTGGTGACTGTCCTGCTTGCAAGGCTAGTGACACTTCCTTTAGAGGAATAAGACCGTGAGGTCGCAGTGACCCTGCACACTGAAGAAAATGTCACATTCATACTCTTTTGCACTACTGGGGAGGAAAATGCAGAAGACCGGACACTTCCCTGTGAACCCTTTGAGAACCGAGGACTTGGGGGCCTGCTCCCCTAGGCCTGGGACATGTGTCAGTTAGGTCCAGGTGAAGACAATGCCACACTCCAGGGCTCCAGGGCCTGCTGTGTCACCAGTCTGCGCCGTCCCTGCTTTTGTAGACTGTGTTGTGGCTGATGCTGGGTGTGGAGAGCATACGTATGCTGTTGCCCCTTCATTCTTCCATGCAGTGCGCCTTGTTGGTGTGGGTGTGTCCCCCTCCCTCCTTCCTTCTGGGCCTCTCCCTGACCTGCACTTACTCCCCCTGCACTTACTCCCCCTGCACTTACTCTGTTCCAGCGGTACTGGATTTTCTGTTCTTCTTGGACCCCACCAGAGAGCACTTGCTTCATGCTGGCTATTTCTTCCGCCCTGCCAGTCTTCTCCCAGTTATCTGCATGACTGACTCCCTCATCTCTTTTGAATTCTGTTTATTTTTTTTAATGTAAGCTTCTCAGTGAGGCTACCCTGACCACCCTTCCTTAAGATGACAGTCCGGTACCCTCTGCACACCTGTGCAGCATCTGCCTCTCCTAATTCATTAAAGGAAAGCCCTGCTTTCAGACACTTACCCTCTTTTAATGTGCTCTGTAGCTCACCTGCTGATTACACCTATTCCTGAGACTCCCTCTTCTAGATTATAAACCCTTCCAGAGCAGCAGTCTTTGCTTCTGCTCACCAGTGTTTCTGAACTGTCTTGGACAGCACCTGGCATATAGTAGGTGCTCCATAAGTATGTGTTGTGCTGAGATCCAGTCCAGCCATGACCCTAACAGCAGATTTGTTAAATCTTCCTTAAGCGGCTTTGCTCAGTTGTTAATGAACCTGTGGAGAAGCTCAGATTTGAGGAAGAAGCCCTTAGAGACCTGCCTGTGTGATGTATTACTCTATAAGCCTGATTTCACCTTTCTCTGACTACCCGTCTGGTTCACCAAGATAACCCGTAAGACTTGGTCAGTTGTCTTTCAGGGGTTCATATAAACCATTTCCATAGCCTCCTCCCAGAACAAGAAGCAATTCAAGGCACTGCAAAGAGTCTGGCAGTGAGTGACTTGCCAGCTGGTTCCTAGAGATCATCTGTCTCTATGTCTTAGAGTCTTCATTAGTAAAACTCAGGCTTCTGGTCAGTTGATACATGACAAGTGTGGGGAACTGGGTCTATCATAAGGTTGGTGCCAAATAGGGCGAGCTGATGTCTGTGTTATTACCTTTCTGGATAATACCGATTCCCATTTGTGGTGGGGAACAGAGATAATTTATCTGTACGTCTCCAGGATCAGCATTTCTCTATATTGAACTCCCGGGAGCTGTGGAAGATTAAGCATCATCTAAAACCTGTCCTGTTCATTCAGCCAGAGACACCAGAGCCAATAAGAAAGGTCTTTTAATCCAGTGCCATAATTGACTTTTAGAGCCATTATTTCTCTTTCACACCCCTGCAGACTGAAATGGATATCATAATGAAATGATCACCATCCCAAAGTTGCTTTTAAATTTCTTGGTCCAGGTATCTGATCACAGGCTCTCTTGCTTTTCTGGAACCGCAATAGTCTACTAAAATTAAAAAAAAAAAAAGATTTATGAAACAGTGATTTCCAAGACACTGGACATCAAGGAGCAAAGTCTTGAGATCCTTGAGAGATGTGAAATAAGTAAGGTGAGCCCTCTGATTGTCCTGACCTGTGGCCTGGACAGTCTCCAGTCAGTGGCACGGGGAGGGAGAGCTGCAGAGGAGCAGCTCCGAGTCCTCCTGAGTTGAGGAAACACAAATGGTTGTACAGGGAAGCCAAGGCAACTGGGGTTCACAAGGCAGAGGACCACAGAAGAAAGAGCTAGCTGTGGAGAGAACTGGAAAGTCTGCAGAATCCCCTATGAGTA